ATATATATATATATATATTATTTTTTTATGATAATAAAAAATAATAAAATTATTTTTATCGTTATTAATATCATATTTAAATTATTGTAAGTAATTTTTTATTTATTTTGTAAGTAAATTTATAATTAAAAATTAGTTAAATTTAAAAGAATAATCAAATAAGTTAATTCACTTAAAATGTAATATTAATAAAAATAAGGATTAAATATGTTTTTAGTCACTCAAGTATCATGTTATTTTGGATTTTGTCTTTCTTATAAAGGTTTATTTATTTTCATCACTTTCTTAGTAAACTCAAATTTTTAGACCTCAAAAAGTGACAACTTTGAATTTTCTTTAGTTTGGTTAAAGGTATGCTACGTTTCAATTTTTTTCTAAAATAAGAATAGGGGTTTCTTGAAAAATTAGGGTTCTTTCCTTGTCTTCAATCAATCAAACAAAAAAAAAGCATGTTCTCTTTATTAACTGAGTTCTCTTGAAAATTCATTCAACCTAATATTTCAAAAAGCATGTTCTCTTTATCAACTAAGTCATCTTCAATCCAACCCACAAGCCCTAAAATAACATTAACAAAAAAACTGAGTAAGAGAAACAAAAAAGGAGGAACACCATTGAGATTTTAAGAATTGGGTCGTGAGAAAGAACCTCGGGAAGAACAAAGTTGGGATCTTTTATGTGTTTTTGAAATCAATGGCGAGAATCGGAGAAAGCAGAGGACGGCTTGCTCCACCATCAAAGTCGAGCGTCGTTCCGACGAATAGCACCGGCTCGTTGTGGCTCTGAGGTTAGTGTTGAAGCATGATAGGGTCCTGAAAGGACTGCAACGACAAACGCAGATCTTGCTACCTCAAATTCAGTGGCGCCGGAGGATAACTCTGAAAGGACGTCGTGGTAGCTTCGACACGAAAGAAAGTCTTGATTGTCTTAGCAATGTTATCCGTATCCAAAGACAATGGCAGAAAATCAGGACCATTGTTGTATAATTAGGTTGAATGAATTTTTCAAATAGGAATCAAATTCCCACTCTTTTCAATTTTCCTATCAAGCCTTTTTCTTGGTTTGATTGATGATAATTAAAGAATATTAATTTTTCATGAAACCCCTATTTAGATTTTAGAAAAAAAATTGAAACGTGACACACACTTAACATGAAAGTTGACATCAGACCTGACACACCTTTAGTCACCGCAGAGAAACTTTAACGTTGTTGCTTTTTAAGGACTAAAAATTTGAGTTTACTAATGAAGATGATGAAAATGAACAATCCTTTGAAAAGGGGACAAAACCCAAAATAACATGATACTTGAGAGATTAAAAACATATTTAATCCTAAAAATAATTATTTTAATTTAAAAAATTATTTAAAGGTTAAAAAGGATAAAAAAATGTAAATATCATAAAAAGGAGTTTTTTATATATAGGTATAGATATAAAGTATATAAAATATACATCATATAACATTAAATTTTGATTTATAAGATAATAAATAAAATTATATTTTACCATAAAAAATACATATAATATGTAACGACCCCAAGAATAGATATAATATATTGATAGAACTTCTGCAATTTTAAAATATTAAACAGTCTTGGCCTGTAAGAACATATACAGCACCATAGGTATGCGGTGTGGATATAGTATATACTATAAAAAAATTTCATAAGAACTTAAGTAATTACATAACTTGAACCAAATATAAAAACTATATCCTACACAATACATGGTGTTCATATATGATACAAAAAAATAACTCGAATTTTACTATAATATTATCTTTCTCTTGGTGTCTATATCATTTTATTCACTTGCAGGTTCTTCTGGTCACATCAATACAATAATTATTGCAAAAACATAAAAAATACATAACACTAGAGAAAAGATAAGTTAATGTAAATAATTTTTTTATCTACATATCATTATTCATATAATACACAAAACATTTAATTATCTTTAAGTAAACCAATCATAAGCATCACGTAAAATTTTTAAACTCTTATTCTGGATTTATGCATTGACTCAGGTATAAGAAGTTATGCACCTGACATAAAAGTGGATTGCTGCAAAGGTCTTGGTTCCACTTCACTTAACCAAACTTTAATCAAAATTCTTGGACATGGTAAGTTAACTTATGATATCACCATATTAGAGGTTTCATTCCTAATTCTACCATAAAAACATTTTTTAACTCTCACCACCTAAATTACGACACTTTATATGAGTTTGTAGCCTAGTAGAGTAAATGATAACTTTTGAACAACACATATCCCTAGCCAATGCAAAAACACTTTACTAGTGAAGACTCCATTTCTTCCTTAGAAGAGCCAAGACTCAAAACAAGGATGCAATTCAACTTTAATTATTCCATTCCATTGATTAACTTTTATACTTATAACCTCATCACTTCTTCCAAAAAAATATGATTTCACATTGAGTTCCTCGTACCAAACAATCATACATAACTCATTCATCATATTCTCATATAATCATAATTCATCACATTCAATTACAATATTTTCATTACATACATCAAAATGGTGAAAAGACTTTTTCTAACCATAAACCTTTAATCAAAGATCTCACCCGTCAAAATAAAGATTCATGTATCCAGGACCAACTATCAACATTTCAATTTGATCCAACAGTTAACGAAGAAAAAATTTAGATTTACCCTAAAAGACTCAAAATATAAAAAGTCAATTCTACAATCGATTACCAATGTGACGTAATTGATACCATTGTCAAATTGGTCTATAAATAACATAATTTTGCAAGTGAAGTACTAACATACCAAAAACCAAATTTCAAGCTTCATACACGTTATAAACACAACAATTTCATGTAAAACAACTCATATAAGCTAACAATATGACATTTGTGATTCATACTATAGAAAACCCCAATTTCATAGTTCTCGTACAACATAAAATTGAAGCCCTTAAATCTCAATTTAACAACTCATACAATCAAACATGACAACAGAATCATACTATTAAAAGACAATTCAAACATATAAGAACTCCAAGTTAATTTATCTCACCTTTAAGGCTACTTTTAATCCCCTCAACACTTCTTCACAACTTTTACCAACATAAAAACCCAAGACAATCATAAAATTATAGCTTTGTTTCTAGAAAAAAAGATGAATAAAGAGCTTACATTATCAATGATTTTGATTGGTGAGATTTCAGAGTTTTCTCGATGATTCTAAGAACAATACTTTTCTTGAAGTAGATTGTACTTTCTTTTTGACACCGCTTGTGAAGAACATTCTGTGAAATATCTCTTTTGTTTCTAATGTTCACTTATGATATTTTGAATAAAACATGTGGATGTGTGTAAAGTAGGTTATCTGCAAGGAATGGAGTAGATTGTGCATGCATAAGATATGTCTTATCTCTTCTCACTTTTGTTCTTTTTAAATGTTAACCATTTAATGTCATTTAATGATTGCTCAGAAGAACAAAGTGTTTTTTTACATTTTCTACCGTTGAAGTAGTGTTTATCAATTAAGCTTTTTTCTAAAGATACCAAACATTGAGTAAGAGCTTTATCGTTGGACGAAGTAATAGTTTTAGCTTATGGTATCGTCTAAACTGAAGAAAACACTTTTTGTGATATAACATACTTTTAGAGCAAAAGTGTTTAATAGGTCATGTTTTCTTTTATGTTTTTGGTTTAGGCTTTTTACGTGTTTTGTCACAAACATGGTCTTGACACTTTTTCTTTTTTCTAAGAGTCTAACTGAATACCCATGGGTACAGTATAACTTTCGCGTTTAACATAACTCTCTTAGACTCTTTTGACTTACTAGTCGTTTAGTATTGCGTCTGAGTGTTTTGACTTAGGTGCTTCTGTGTTTTCTACAATCTTAAGTGTTTTCCTAAGAGACTCTTCTATTGACGGGGATTTCAAACCTAATGTTTATGTTTCAACCTATGGTATTTCAAATTCTTATTTCGTTTAATGTTATTAGATTAAACTTCAAAATATGAGAGATAGTTTTGTCTTAACACAACAACCCACGTCGTCCTCCATCACTGAACCTACAAGAACGAACAACACCATGTCAATCAACAATGCACACAAAGGGGACAAACCAGCAAAACCCTAAATCGTGAAATGTGTCTCACAATATGGGGCTTTATGATTTAGGGTTCTATGGTGGTTGAATTGTTATTTGCGTTGTTGTCAAGTTTTGTTGATGGTTCGTCGTTGTTTTCGTCTCATGGTGGTTTGATTATAGATTTGTGCTAGGTGTGGTTTGCGATTAAGAACTTCGAGAAGATGGATTCACATTTTACGTTAAAGGCGTGAAATGGTCTGTGATTCCTTCTAGTTGGTGTTGCACTTGTGATGGTGGTGGAATTTGATGTGTCTCTGTAGTGGAGGAACAAAATTGCTCCGGTGATAGTTCAAATGGTGGTTGACAACGTCGCATGGCAACGTAAACAATTGTGCAGGATGACCACGTAAGCAAAACCAACAACTTATTCAAACATTGTCGATAAGTACAGTCTATTGTTAACTATTTAGACAATGTCATGAAAAAAATATTAAATCGAACATAAATTATGAAATTTCTCACCACGTTAAACATAAAAAAAAGACAAAATTAATGAAAATAAAGATCAAAGAAATATTTAAATCAAGCTTAATCTGACGTAATATCTATTATTTACTTTTATAATTACATAAAATCTTTATATTTAAATTTATAAAAGTATTACAATAATTATGACTTCGTATTTAGTAAATCTTTAAAATTCAAATCTTAAATTTTTAACTATAATTTTATTTTGAAATTTAAAAAGATAGTCACTATTTTCAAAAAATTAAAGACTTTTTTTTATGTAAAAAAGGCCTTTTAATTAATTCTAATTGAAAATACCATAAAAAATGTATTCTTGATTTATTTCGACGGAAAGAAATTATTCTTAACATTTCATTGAGGAACTAATTTGCTGAAAAACTATATTATTTGTTTAATAAATAAATAAATAATAAGAAATGCGAATTGGGAGTGCTAAGAACAAAGAATTGATTTGATTCTGAAATCCAAACCAAAACCAAAACCCTCACACACAGAGTTATCGTCGTCGTTGGTGGTGCTGGTGGTGGTTACGCGATCGAAACAATCGAAAATGTCGTCGGTTTACGTTCTAGAACCTCCGACGAAGGGGAAAGTGGTAGTGAGCACCACGCGCGGACCTTTGGACATCGAGCTATGGCCGAAGGAGGCTCCAAAAGCCGTGAGGAACTTCGTGCAGCTCTGCCTCGAAAACTATTACGACGACACTATCTTCCACCGCGTCATCAAGGACTTCCTCGTCCAAGGTGGCGACCCCACCGGCTCCGGCACCGGTGAGTCCACGCGCTCTAATTTGCACCCTTCCGCTTTTGTTTCTCCGTGATTGGTTGTAAAACTATGAGTGAGCGTTTGCTTAATTGATTTATATGAATTTTTTTTGGGAAATTGGCTTAGTTATAGTTAAAATGAAAGTTGGAGCGAATTGATCTGTGCTTGGATAAGCTTTTTCCTGAATGCGAGTTTGATGTAAAATGTAAAACATAGTGTATACGTTTTCAATCTAGAGCAGTATTGCTTTAATGTGTGTTAGAGTATTCAGAATTGTTTTGAAATACTAGTTAAATTCATTTATGTTAGGATATGTAATATATAATGTAATTTTTTTCAACCGAAAGCAACTAGCTATCTTTTTAACACTTTAAAGTGTTTTTAGGTATTGTATTAGATAATCCAGTATCACATTGAAATACAGGTTAAATTGATTTGGATGCGTTTTTTTCTCTGAAAGCAAGTTTGATGTAAAATTTAGTGTAACTTTTTCAATCTAAAGCGGAAGCTGTTTTTTTTTTTATCACTTTAATGATTTTAGATTTGTGGTTGGATTATTTGGAATCACGTTGAAATGATATTGAAATTATTAGTTACCGGAGTTTAGTTAAATATATGCACGTTGAAGACTTGTTTGGATGAGTTTCTCCATAAGTTCTTTCCACAAAAGAAAAATAGAGGAAAATTTGACATTAGCATTTTCATAAGCTAAATTAACTTATGCATAACTTGTAAAAGTTCCCTGTATAGCTTCTTTAAATTTTTATTTGTAACATGTGTATAAGTTAATTTTAGCTTCTAGAGAAACTAAAGAGTGTTTTCTTATTTTTTTCTCTTAGGATGAACTTATGGAGAAACTCATCCAAACAAACCCTTACGTCTTGATTCATAATTGATTATAACTTGAAGCAACTTTAGGTTGCTTTGGGATGCGTTTTTATCTGAAGACAAGTTTGATGTAAGAGTTATTCTGACAAGTTTTTCAATCTAAAGTAGAAGCTACCTTTTATCACTTATAGTAGAGCTGAGGTTTGGAGGCAAAATCAATTTTGCGTAACAGTAAACAAATATTGTCTTTTTACTGAAGTAAAGTCTAATAGTAGGGAAAATCAATTCTAATACTTTCCACCATGAATAGGGTTTGGTTTTGCATTGATTTAAGGAAACTGCAGTGTTCCACCATGGTTTTCCAACACACCAGAGAGTGGCTTTAGCTCCTGGTTTGCATGATTTTTTAAATGTGATTCACTAGTTTCCATACGTACTATAATCATATTTGTTCTGTTCATTTATGTGAATTGTGGATACTGTTTTGTTTGTGATTCTCCTGATTGTTTAGTGGGTCTTTTATCAAAATAACTAATTGTTTTGTTGCTGTTATTGTAGGAGGTGAAAGCATTTATGGTGGTGTTTTTGCTGATGAGTTTCATTCTCGTTTAAAATTCAAGCACAGAGGAATAGTTGCGATGGCAAGTGCTGGATCTCCAAATTCCAATGGAAGTCAGTTTTTCATCACTCTCGATCGTTGTGACTGGCTTGATCGCAAGCATACCATTTTTGGAAAAGTAAGAGGAGTTCTTTCCAAGGAAAATTTATGTTTTTATTGTCTGTTTTCACTTTTAATTATGCAGTGTCACGTATTTTTTTGCTTTATTTCATGTTTTCAAAGATAAGTATAAGAAATGGTGAGATAGAAAATAAAATTGAAAACAATGAAAGGTTGTGTTCTTTGATATGCTACACTTTTGAAAATGGGAACAAAGTGAAAACAAAATGAAATATGTAAAATTGCAAACAGAAATTGAAAATAGAAAACATCAATCCCAGCATATCGCTGGTTGGGATGGGTAGGTCCACCACTTCACTTCCTCCCCCCACCTCCCCCCACCTGAAAAAATAAAGCCAAGTTCATGATACTTTCCCTTAATACGGCTCAAATCATTCTCGTATGCCCCTAGGAGGCATCCTTTCCTTGATTTTTGGGTTGGTTCACATGTGTGCAAATGAGCACTGCCCACAACAACAGGGAACTATGACCGATCGAGTCAGACACTCAGTTAGCTACATCTACATCCAAAATGTAGTTCTGGTCAAGGATTTCTTTCCTTTATTAGTAAGGACGTCTGCGAAGTCCTTGCCTTCCATATCACCACAGTCAAGTGAAAATTTCCCTAAAGAATCCAATTGCAGTTATGTGGAAGTAAAACTTTCTGTTTGTGATATTTAAGGATGATTGGCTGTTCTCACTGTTATTTGACTTCAGGTGACAGGAGATACAATGTATAATCTTTTGAGACTGGGTGAAGTTGAAACTGATAAGAATGACCGGCCTTTAGATCCGCCAAAAATTTTATCAGTCGAGGTTCGTTGTGCTTTTGATTGGTATTGCTAAAACATTGAAGTTTGTGTCCAGTGCAGATAATTAATCCTCACTAGTTTCATCTTAATATGCTTATTTTAGGTGTTATGGAATCCATTTGAAGATATTGTTCCAAGAACACTTCAGAAATCTCGAACTGAATCTAGAGTTGATACTGAAAGTAAAGAACCAAAGAAGAAAGGTGTAAAGTAAGTTCAACCTCCTTTTGAAGAAAAATGTCTTAGAACTCAATACAGAATGCTTACTTTCTAAGCAGCATGTTTTTTATTGATTTGTAAATTCGATTACAGAAAATTAAACTTGCTTTCATTTGGGGAAGAAGCTGAAGAAGAGGAAAAGGAATTGGCGTCAGTGAAGCAAAAGATTAAGAGCAGCCATGATGTCTTGAACGATCCTCGTCTTCTAAAGGAAGAAACACCTGATAGTGAATTGGTAATAAGAACTTTCTTATAGTATTTCTTTTGTTCCTATAGTATAACTCTTACCTGATAATTGTAATTTTTAGTGCTTTATCTATTAATTACTTGTGGTCACAAACATAAATTGCTTGTATTTATTTTGCAGAGTGCATCAAGAAGAGATTTGCAGCTGTCTGTTAGGGAGACACTTAACGCAAAGAAAGAAGAGCCTCAGAAAGACTCAGCACCTGGTAACATTGCTCGTCTTGATTCCAGTGATGATGATGAAGCAGATTTTGATTCAAGAATGCGCATGCAGATACTCAAAAAGAGGAAGGAGTTGGGTGATCTCCCTCCGAAGCCTAAGTTGCAAAAAGGTACGTCAAGTGTTATTCAATTTATATTATATATTATTTATTGCAGTTTCTTAGTTGTAACATCTCAACCTCTGATCTAGGAAGCCTTTCATGTTCTACTCATGCAAGGTTCAATGATCTTATAGCTGTGACATTATGCTACCACAGTTACTGTCAGGCTGCCATGTTTATTCCTTCTTCATCTCCAACAGAAGATAAATTATTTAGCAACTAGGCCACTTCCTACTTCTGAACCCTATCTGTAAATTTTCAAAACAAAACATAGGAGAGAGATACTTTTGATGTATGAAATTAAACTCTCACTCTTTTCGAAATGCTTGTTACACCAACAAGAACATAAGAAACATGTAATAGCGAAAATTTTGAAAGGCATAGTGTGTGGAAGAATCCAGTTGTAGAAGTGACATGTAGGACCTGTCAAATGGAATAAAAATACTAATAGTGTATAATAAAAATGGTAGTCTTAACAAGGGACAAAATGGTTAGAAGATGCTAATAGTTGCAGGAACAATTGATTGAGACACTTTGCAACTGCTTATAGTATATTGGATTGGATCTTTTAAGTTGAGTGTAAATTATGAAATACCTTTTCGTGTTCTCAACACTTGGGGGGAATGTTCGCTACTTTTTGCATTACAAGAGCAATAAAATGACAACATTCTAAGGTGCATTTAATTTAATCAAAAATGGTAATCGAGGTGTATTTTATTTTATAAATCTTTTGCAGAAGTTTGTTTTATTTGTAAATGCAGTAATTATTTATGGTAATGGAGATCTATTTTAGTTTATAAATCTATGGCAGAATTTTGTCTTATTTGTGAATGCAGTAATGGTTATGCTTACTAAGATTTAAGCTGTTGATCCCTTAGAACATTTTATAATTTCCCTTCTTTTTATGTACTATTCTTATTCAAAATATTTTTTGTATTTCCAAGACTCATCATTGTTTTGTTAAGCAGCAGGAAGATCCATTCCAGAGAATCATGATACGTCAGCACTAAGGTAAAACTATCCGTCTTTGAAATTCTATTATGGCCACATTTAGAGCTCGAGTATGTGTTTTATCTGTTGCCACAAAAGTGCCAATGTGGATATTTTGAATGGCAATGATACATTACGTGATAGAAAAATTTCGGCTCTTTTAAATTGTAAAATATGGTTGTGAAACAAGAATGATATACTATTAGGCTCATTATGGGGATCTTGTGGCCCCTTACATGCTCTATATTCCCTATGTAGCATACTTGGCAAATAAGCCATTGAACTTGTGGCCATGGTGGGGACCCAAGGTAGAGAGTCATAGAGGAAATTATTAGATGGTTGTGCTAAGATGCATATCACATTTTGTTCACATTAGGAACCATGCCTGTGCAATGAAAACATATTGTGCTTGCATGTTTTTTTCTTAGTTTCATACAAAAAGGATAATATTTACTAACTAGTTTTTAGTTCAATTCTTCAAATCCAGAGTCCTAGGATATGCACATACATGTCTGTACTTCTTCATATATATATCATTCTGACGTTTGACATTTTTCCTTAAACAATATGGAGATTCCTAACCCATGGCTTCATTACCTGAGAAATCCACTGTAATCAAGTTACTGTGCCTCGATTGTGTTCTGGCATTTGAAAGATTGCTGGTTATACTGCTAGTTGTTATCATTTATTTAAAGAAGATATATAATCTATCAATTAGCTGTCAAAGAAATATTTTAAAGTGGCTTTTTGTTAGCCTCCTATTGCCTATGAAGTGNGTAGTTCAATTCTCCAAATCCAGAGTCCTAGGATATGCACATACATGTCTGTACTTCTTCATATAGATATCATTCTGACGTTTGACATTTTTCCTTAAACAATATGGAGATTCCTAACCCATGGCTTCATTACCTGAGAAATCCACTGTAATCAAGTTACTGTGCCTCGATTGTGTTCTGGCATTTGAAAGATTGCTGGTTATACTGCTAGTTGTTATCATTTATTTAAAGAAGATATATAATCTATCAATTAGCTGTCAAAGAAATATTTTAAAGTGGCTTTTTGTTAGCCTCCTATTGCCTATGAAGTTTGCTTGCTTGGATTTCCAAGTAGATGTTTTTTGTATCTATTGGATTTTCTGCATATGCAAGCGTGTTTTGTGGCTTGTGTGATTATTCAAACATTTTGTAATTGGTCTAAACTTAAGTAAATGGTTGACTGTCTACTTGTTAGGTCCAATGCTGCTAGTGTTGATGAGGATCAACCAAAGGTGGAAAAGTTGTCCATGAAGAAAAAGGGAGTGGGATCTGAAGCAAGAGCTGAACGAATGGCTAATGCAGATGCAGATCTGCAACTATTAAATGAAACTGAGAGAGGAAGACAATTGCAAAAGCAGAAGAAACGCCGACTTCAAGGGCGCGAAGATGAAGTATGTTTTGATTTTTTTATTTTATGTTTCCTTATTTCCTTTGTAGTTTTTTTTCCCTGCTTGTGTTCTTGAGCATTCTAGACTATAAAAAATATAATTGAAAGGAAATGATAACCTGACTAATGATTTACTATGGCATGTAAGAGTAGTTGACTCAAAATTTCTATATAAACAAGATTGACAGTTAAATGAACATTTGTTAATGTCTGAACCTTCCGGATTATGGGGTTAATGCTTTGTTTCTAAATTTTTAGTCGTTTAAGGGTTTTTTTGTGATAATATGCTTGTGTTTTCAAGTACTTTTCCCGAGTAACATTGTTCCCTTTGTATCTCTACCTTTAGGTTCTGGCTAAACTTCAAAAATTTAAGAAATCTTTAGCAGCAAAGGAGACACTCCCAGCTAGCGAATCTGAAGATGTTAAAAATGAGGATTTGTCTGACTGGAAAGGTGCCTGTTTAAAATTTACCCCCGAGTCTGGCAAGGTGAGTTTTCTCTTCGCATTTCTTCTAGACGGGCTGTATAAACTCTGGATTTCAAAATCATTTTATTTCCCATCCAAATTATGTGTTTTACCTGTCTTTTCATTTTCATCTATCAGTTGTCAGAGAAATAATCTGAAAATTGTTTCTCCATACATGAAGAAAATCTTTGAAATTAGACAATTCTATTGAAATAAATATCCTCGTGCTCTAAGATATCTGCAACAATGTTATAACTGCTATTGGTTCCTCTTTGATTTAAATCACATCGCTCCTTTCTTACACCCTTACACATTGCCTGTAATTTTCTTGTAAACGTGCAGGACCGCATGTCACGTAATGAGGACCCAAATGATTATGTTGTGCACGACCCTCTTCTGGAAAAGGGGAAAGAAAAGTTTAATAGGATGATGGCCAAACAAAAGAGACGAGAACGAGAGTGGGCTGGGAGATCTCTTACTTGACCATTCAGGTGCCAACATGGCTATGTAAATATACAAGTTGATTGGTTCTGAAGGTTAACATGTCTCTGCTGCTGTGCTGGGAAAGGAAACTTTCGCTAGTAGGAACTAAGCAGAAAGTTGAAGCATTGTGGAGTGTAGCAGACATTGCTGACAAGGACACTCATATTGGTGAGTGAGAACTGAGATGTAGGGTTACCGTACAAGTGTTCCTTCAATTAAAGCCAACGAGGAACTCATGTGAGGGTCTCCTCTCATTCATTAATTGAGTTTGTATCTTTGTCCAATCTTAACAGATGTTTTTGTGTAGCTTTAAAACATTTATTCTATTTTAATATTAGGAATCGGAAGGATGTTGTGCTATTGTGGGACTGAATATTTTGCAGATGAAGAAGACTTTAGTTGGATGTCAGAATTTCATTTTAGTTGAGAGGAGTTGGACATGGAGCTTTAGGGGCATGTATTTACAAAGATATCCATTGAATTGAGTTTTTCTTTTCTAGGGAACTAAGCTTCAGCTATTATTATGGTCGTGGGTATTCCATAGCATCTTTGATAATGCATCATGCGCATGGTTTTTCACTTTAGAGTAGAAGTTCATAGTTCTACCTTTTATATTGAAGACTCATTTGACATTTTTTGTTTTGTTAAGAGGGGCACATTTCTAAATACGTATTAATAGTTAACGTGTAAAGTTGACGTGCCACATTAAGGAGGGGTAGAGTCACTTTAGTCCTGAAAGTGGTAGCCTCTTCTAATTTAATTTCTGAAGTTGAAAATGTTACTTAGGTCTTTGGAATGTTAAACGAGTCCTTGAACTTAGGCTTCTTGGAATATGTGTGATTATTATTATTATTAGAGTAATATCTTTTTAAAAAAATTTTAAGTAGTGTGATTGCCAATTTATACTTACAGAGATTTGTTTATTAGTTTTTTAAAATTAAGGAGCTAATGTGATAGCGATTTACAAATTTAGAGACCATCTGTTTACTAGAGAGAATTTGTTTGAGTCTGTCAGTGAGTGTTTGTAGAAAATCCGATTTTTCCTTTTAAGTCACTTCAACCAGTTATGATGCAAATTATTGATGAATGAGTCACAGTAAGATGTGGATGCAAATCTTTTGACGTCAAACACAATGCACGCCTTTCATTTGCACCCAGATGTCGCTTTGTTCTTTCACGGAAGCTTCGATTTCGATTACTACCATATGGAGATCAGTGCCAAAATGTTTGATGGTGAAAGGTTGAAATCTTGTTTGATGGAGCAACAGAGTTGCAATGTCATAAATTTATGCTAAAGAAAATTTGATGGTATTAGTATTAGTGGGAAATTTTCAAATAGTTCTCATATTTTGATAGGCCTTATATTTTGATTCGTTTGTTTTTTATTTTTAAAAATATATAATATAATTAGGTAATTTTTATTAGTACACAGTGTTAAATATTTCTTGTGTTAGTTTGTGATTTTTTTATTTTTTATTAAAAAAATTATATTTCATTAAATCAACATCATTGTCATAATCTTAATTTAGTTTTTATATTTATTATTTTAATTTATTTAATTTCAACTTATTTTAAATAAAATAATTCGCCATTTTTTAAATTGAGATAAAATATAACTTTTATATAAATATTATAAAAGTAATCTTTTTAACTAAGTTTATTTAAATTTATATTTTATATTTAATTTTGTTTCAATTTTGTTTTAAAATTTTGAATGTATCTGTATAAACTTTAATATTGTTGTTCTACTTGAATTTACATATTAAATAATTGTATATAAGTTTATATAGATTTATAAATAAATTCATATTTTAAATATTTATATAATATTATATTAATAATTCCTATAAAAATAATATAGTTGGTTTAAAAATAACAATTTTACAATTCAAANAGATCCATTCCAGAGAATCATGATACGTCAGCACTAAGGTAAAACTATCCGTCTTTGAAATTCTATTATGGCCACATTTAGAGCTCGAGTATGTGTTTTATCTGTTGCCACAAAAGTGCCAATGTGGATATTTTGAATGGCAATGATACATTACGTGATAGAAAAATTTCGGCTCTTTTAAATTGTAAAATATGGTTGTGAAACAAGAATGATATACTATTAGGCTCATTATGGGGATCTTGTGGCCCCTTACATGCTCTATATTCCCTATGTAGCATACTTGGCAAATAAGCCATTGAACTTGTGGCCATGGTGGGGACCCAAGGTAGAGAGTCATAGAGGAAATTATTAGATGGTTGTGCTAAGATGCATATCACATTTTGTTCACATTAGGAACCATGCCTGTGCAATGAAAACATATTGTGCTTGCATGTTTTTTTCTTAGTTTCATACAAAAAGGATAATATTTACTAACTAGTCTGTAGTTCAATTCTCCAAATCCAGAGTCCCAGGATATGCACATACATGTCTGTACTTCTTCATATAGATATCATTCTGACGTTTGACATTTTTCCTTAAACAATATGGAGATTCCTAACCCATGGCTTCATTACCTGAGAAATCCACTGTAATCAAGTTACTGTGCCTCGATTGTGTTCTGGCATTTGAAAGATTGCTGGTTATACTGCTAGTTGTTATCATTTATTTAAAGAAGATATATAATCTATCAATTAGCTGTCAAAGAAATATTTTAAAGTGGCTTTTTGTTAGCCTCCTATTGCCTATGAAGTTTGCTTGCTTGGATTTCCAAGTAGATGTTTTTTGTATCTATTGGATTTTCTGCATATGCAAGCGTGTTTTGTGGCTTGTGTGATTATTCAAACATTTTGTAATTGGTCTAAACTTAAGTAAATGGTTGACTGTCTACTTGTTAGGTCCAATGCTGCTAGTGTTGATGAGGATCAACCAAAGGTGGAAAAGTTGTCCATGAAGAAAAAGGGAGTGGGATCTGAAGCAAGAGCTGAACGAATGGCTAATGCAGATGCAGATCTGCAACTATTAAATGAAACTGAGAGAGGAAGACAATTGCAAAAGCAGAAGAAACGCCGACTTCAAGGGCGCGAAGATGAAGTATGTTTTGATTTTTTTATTTTATGTTTCCTTATTTCCTTTGTAGTTTTTTTTCCCTGCTTGTGTTCTTGAGCATTCTAGACTATAAAAAATATAATTGAAAGGAAATGATAACCTGACTAATGATTTACTATGGCATGTAAGAGTAGTTGACTCAAAATTTCTATATAAACAAGATTGACAGTTAAATGAACATTTGTTAATGTCTGAACCTTCCGGATTATGGGGTTAATGCTTTGTTTCTAAATTTTTAGTCGTTTAAGGGTTTTTTTGTGATAATATGCTTGTGTTTTCAAGTACTTTTCCCGAGTAACATTGTTCCCTTTGTATCTCTACCTTTAGGTTCTGGCTAAACTTCAAAAATTTAAGAAATCTTTAGCAGCAAAGGAGACACTCCCAGCTAGCGAATCTGAAGATGTTAAAAATGAGGATTTGTCTGACTGGAAAGGTGCCAGTTTAAAATTTACCCCCGAGTCTGGCAAGGTGAGTTTTCTCTTCGCATTTCTTCTAGACGGGCTGTATAAACTCTGGATTTCAAAATCATTTTATTTCCCATCCAAATTATGTGTTTTACCTGTCTTTTCATTTTCATCTATCAGTTGTCAGAGAAATAATCTGAAAATTGTTTCTCCATACATGAAGAAAATCTTTGAAATTAGACAATTCTATTGAAATAAATATCCTCGTGCTCTAAGATATCTGCAACAATGTTATAACTGCTATTGGTTCCTCTTTGATTTAAATCACATCGCTCCTTTCTTACACCCTTACACATTGCCTGTAATTTTCTTGTAAACGTGCAGGACCGCATGTCACGTAATGAGGACCCAAATGATTATGTTGTGCACGACCCTCTTCTGGAAAAGGGGAAAGAAAAGTTTAATAGGATGATGGCCAAACAAAAGAGACGAGAACGAGAGTGGGCTGGGAGATCTCTTACTTGACCATTCAGGTGCCAACATGGCTATGTAAATATACAAGTTGATTGGTTCTGAAGGTTAACATGTCTCTGCTGCTGTGCTGGGAAAGGAAACTTTCGCTAGTAGGAACTAAGCAGAAAGTTGAAGCATTGAGGAGTGTAGCAGACATTGCTGACAAGGACACTCATATTGGTGAGTGAGAACTGAGATGTAGGGTTACCGTACAAGTGTTCCTTCAATTAAAGCCAACGAGGAACTCATGTGAGGGTCTCCTCTCATTCATTAATTGAGTTTGTATCTTTGTCCAATCTTAACAGATGTTTTTGTGTAGCTTTAAAACATTTATTCTATTTTAATATTAGGAATCGGAAGGATGTTGTGCTATTGTGGGACTGAATATTTTGCAGATGAAGAAGACTTTAGTTGGATGTCAGAATTTCATTTTAGTTGAGAGGAGTTGGACATGGAGCTTTAGGGGCATGTATTTACAAAGATATCCATTGAATTGAGTTTTTCTTTTCTAGGGAACTAAGCTTCAGCTATTATTATGGTCGTGGGTATTCCATAGCATCTTTGATAATGCATCATGCGCATGGTTTTTCACTTTAGAGTAGAAGTTCATAGTTCTACCTTTTATATTGAAGACTCATTTGACATTTTTTGTTTTGTTAAGAGGGGCACATTTCTAAATACGTATTAATAGTTAACGTGTAAAGTTGACGTGCCACATTAAGGAGGGGTAGAGTCACTTTAGTCCTGAAAGTGGTAGCCTCTTCTAATTTAATTTCTGAAGTTGAAAATGTTACTTAGGTCTTTGGAATGTTAAACGAGTCCTTGAACTTAGGCTTCTTGGAATATGTGTGATTATTATTATTATTAGAGTAATATCTTTTTAAAAAAATTTTAAGTAGTGTGATTGCCAATTTATACTTACAGAGATTTGTTTATTAGTTTTTTAAAATTAAGGAGCTAATGTGATAGCGATTTACAAATTTAGAGACCATCTGTTTACTAGAGAGAATTTGTTTGAGTCTGTCAGTGAGTGTTTGTAGAAAATCCGATTTTTCCTTTTAAGTCACTTCAACCAGTTATGATGCAAATTATTGATGAATGAGTCACAGTAAGATGTGGATGCAAATCTTTTGACGTCAAACACAATGCACGCCTTTCATTTGCACCCAGATGTCGCTTTGTTCTTTCACGGAAGCTTCGATTTCGATTACTACCATATGGAGATCAGTGCCAAAATGTTTGATGGTGAAAGGTTGAAATCTTGTTTGATGGAGCAACAGAGTTGCAATGTCATAAATTTATGCTAAAGAAAATTTGATGGTATTAGTATTAGTGGGAAATTTTCAAATAGTTCTCATATTTTGATAGGCCTTATATTTTGATTCGTTTGTTTTTTATTTTTAAAAATATATAATATAATTAGGTAATTTTTATTAGTACACAGTGTTAAATATTTCTTGTGTTAGTTTGTGATTTTTTTATTTTTTATTAAAAAAATTATATTTCATTAAATCAACATCATTGTCATAATCTTAATTTAGTTTTTATATTTATTATTTTAATTTATTTAATTTCAACTTATTTTAAATAAAATAATTCGCCATTTTTTAAATTGAGATAAAATATAACTTTTATATAAATATTATAAAAGTAATCTTTTTAACTAAGTTTATTTAAATTTATATTTTATATTTAATTTTGTTTCAATTTTGTTTTAAAATTTTGAATGTATCTGTATAAACTTTAATATTGTTGTTCTACTTGAATTTACATATTAAATAATTGTATATAAGTTTATATAGATTTATAAATAAATTCATATTTTAAATATTTATATAATATTATATTAATAATTCCTATAAAAATAATATAGTTGGTTTAAAAATAACAATTTTACAATTCAAATGCAAAAATTTTAAAACTATTTAAATAAAATTTAATGTAAAATATAAATTTAAATAAACTTAATATTGTTAAAAATATTTAATAAAATTATCAATTTTAATAAAAATATTTTTATAATATTTATGTAAAAATGAAATTTATTCTTAATTTGAAAAGATTAAAATTGTCAGTTTAAAAAAAATAAAAATTGAATTGAATTAAAATAACAAATTGAGATTTAGATAATATAATAAAAGAAATTTTAAAAAAATTAAAAAATATGACAAACTATATTTAATGTTATTACACATTCTAAATAATAAAAACTTAACTGAGACCCATCAAAATGTGAGAATCTATTTAATATTTTTAAACAAATATGATGATCAATGAAATATTTTAATTTAAATTTAATAGTTAATTATAAAAGTCTCAAATAATATATGAACTACTAATTAAACTAACCTCTTTAAAAACTAAAAATAACATTTTTGTGAGACCTCTATGTCTTTTGTTGAAGAAGAATTTTGGTAGTTTACCACTAACTGTTAACTGGTTTGTACCTAACATTTTTAATTTCATTTGGCTATTGGCTTAATTGATCTATTTGGGTTGCGTTGATAGCTCTATCATTTGGGATGCTTTTAAAAATACTTCTGTTGACCTTTGCGCTCTTCTTTATTACAAGTGAATCTATTGGTCCCTACTGTACCCCCAACTCGACAATGTCCTATTTTTTCAAGGAAAAAGAAAACAAAGGTAAGATTATGACAATGCGGCTAAAAAAAAAAAAAAAAAAAAAAAAAAAGAACTAGGTCTCTAATTTCATTTGACCTTAATTTTAATAAATTTGATATTCATTGTTAAGTCATAGCTAATATATTATGACATTTCGAATATATTATGGATATGATTATAATTGGACCTTAAAATGTAGAAAGTTAAAATTAATTAACTTTGTTAGATTCTTATAGAGAAACATTAATATAGGTCTTTGGTCGATTCATCCAAGTTAAGCTAACCATTTAAGTATAAACATGTCAAGTTAAGGTAGAATTAAAATCTCAATATATTGAAGAAGAGGAAGATAAGGTCATGAGCTCGATTGGATGACTGAGAGTTATAAAGAGAAGTTGCAGCATTGAAACATGTTTGGGAAGAATATGAAAAGGTTATCGTCAATCACGAATATAAAAATAGCAGGAAGCGAGTGTGTGAAAGCCGTAAATTGATTGAAAAATGTTGTAAGAGATGGTGAAAGAAAAGATAGAATGGTAGTTGAGATATTGGTTTTTCATGAATGACCCATTTGCTTTTACACTAAATCCCTTTTTAAGAGAAGAGTTTTATGTGAGATGATGCAGATGAGATTATAGTTTTTGCATATTTGGAGATTGCAAATTGATGTCTTAGAGCACATTGGTTTACTTGTGAGATGGGGTATGACTAGAGAGACAAAAGGTCAAAAGTAGCGTATATTGTTGAATTCTGATATCAGGCTTTGGGAGTGTGGGACCCGTCATCATCTAGGGCAATCTCAACTCAAGTGTGAACATGCATGCTCAATGTCAAAATCTTCCCAAATAAAATGTCTACTCCCAACAAGCACAACTTTTTCGCTAAAGGTTAAACCAAACTTATGCCTCACTAATAAATGCCTCTAATCACTTCAACATTTACAACAATAATAATGCCTTTTTTTAATAACTGTTATTAATGTAAAACATTCCTCCTTTTCTTTAATGTTTTTTCTTAACTCAATTTGTAATGGGTTACAACTTATGAGTTAATTCAACTTACATAAGTTTAGGCTAGATTGGATGATAAAAAATTTAAAATTTTGATGCAGACTAATTTTGGACCTGACTCATTGAATTTAAATATGACAACGAGTTGGGTTAAACACAGTTATTGCTTACTTGTTATTCGACTCGAAATAAAAAAATTCGTTTGTTATCCACATGAATACCCGTTTAAAAAATATATCTGAGTATTTTAAAACTCACAGATATCCGTAGATATCCATGAATATTTTTAAAAAATATATTTTATAAATTTTTAAAATAAAATTTAAATAAAATTACAAAAAATTAAAAAATATAATATAAATTAAAATTTAATTATAATTAAATTTAACCTGATAAAATATAAATTAATTTTAATTTTAATTAAATTTATCTTAATAAAATATAATTAAAAATTTTATTTTTATTTTTACGAATAGCGAATATTCGCGAGTATGAAAGTATAATACTCGCACACGATCAGTTTATAAGCAAATATTAAAATACTTGTTACCCGCTACCTATGGATAATAGATACCTGCGAGTATCAATTATCTATCCTTGATTTTATCTGCAGATAACGACAAATATGAGTATTTTTGTCATCCTTAACTGGGTTGAATCCATGGTGAACTAGATTGACTCACCAATCTAATTTAAGATCAGTCTCTTTTGTTTAGATTTGAATTAAATAAATATTATTATTTTTTTAATTAAAAAAATTGTAATTAAGTGAGTAATGAACTAATTTGTTTAACCCACCAAACTGTGTTAGATCAAACTGATTTCAAATTTTTTCAACTCACTAATAAATAAATTAGGTTAGTTTACTAAGTGCGTGTGGTAAGTCAAACCATGTTAAATTAGATGACCCATTTTAATAATACTATTTAAGTGAGAATTTTGTTTCAATTTGACATTTTTTTTTTCATAGATTCGTTTTCAAATTTTCTAGGCGGGTGAAAGTGGTTATTGTTTTAAAATTGATATGGAAATTGTTAAATGTAGTAATCTTTTAGTAGTGATATGAATTTTAAATAACTTTAAGTTAAATTAAATGTTACTTTTAATCGAATTGTTATTAAAATTGGTTTCTTTATTGAATACTTTTTTATACTTTTCAATCAACTATAAGTATTTAATTCTTTTTTGTTATTTAAGTTTGTCGTCTTATTTTTATTTTTTTTCAAATATTAAGAAATATGAAAATTTGTGATTAATAAAATAAAATTATACTTAATGTAGAATGGTTAGTATTTTTTATTAGTTATAAAATATCATGTTTCTTAGTAAAGACAAGAAAATAAAATGATAATGTAAAATAATCAGCTAACAAAAAAATTAAAAATTATAAAACAACAAAACCTCAATTAAAAACTGTAAAAATTTGTTGATATCCAAGAAAAAAAAGGATTACTCCAATTTGATTAGGTTTTGTTAGAATTGACCACATGTGGATTTTTTTTGTCAACAAAAATTATCTAAAAAGTAGTTTTCTTTTTTTTCTCCAAGATGCATAAGTATATATTACTCATGACACTTTTTTTTTCTGTCTATAATTAAAAAACGTTTTTATATATAAGAGAATCTGATTTGAGATAAGAATACTTTTGACATGAGATCTGAGCTAGGAAAATCAACCATATAACACATCTATCAAATTCCTCTTAAATATTTTATTACTAATATCATCACATTCTTCACTAAAATAAACATAAACCAACTACACAAGTACATCAACATCTTATCATCTAATAACACCTTTATATCATTTCCAAATTTTAAAACTTACACCATTATCCTCAATTAGTGCTCTTACTCCACTTCAATATTCTAAAAATTAACCCT